ACTACATACATATACCAAGTGCTCCATACCAACAAACACTGACTACACACATATAACATGTGACCTATACCATACATACTTAGCTATTTTATAGGTCAGATATACAGGTGAAACTCTCATGCACACAGGCCTCGGCCAGGTACACGGGTAAAACTCTTCCAATTTATCATACAAAAATGTTGTTCTGAAAACAAAATGCCCTCTATAATCATACAATGTTGTCTGGCAAACTGGTAGCCTCACATAAACATGACCCAAACAAAATACAATATGAAAATGCCCCACGGAAGTCTAGTGTGTCGGCAACATACAACAATCATTGGGAGCCACTAACTTACAATATTTTTTTTTATTTAGAGTTTCGCAAACAGATTCCAACATGTGGACTAGCCATTGTGCTGTTAAGTAACAACATGCTCGGCTATTTTAGAGTTACTAATGTGCCGCTAGCGTACAATATATTCAATCATTAGAGACAGTTGCGATTTTATACACATTCATCGTTTAGAGTAGCCAAAGTGTAGCTAGCATTAGAGTAGCCAATGTGTAGCTAGCATTAGAGTAGCCAATGTTTAGCTAACTCACAACATTCTTCACTAAATTAGCCGGTACTATTTACAAGATTCCATTATTCAGAGTAGATCATGTGTGGTTAAACTGACAATCTATTTCATCATTTAGAACAGCAACATTGAACTCCTCACTGGCGTGCATAAACAAACACAGTCGCAGAGATAACTGACAACTGTTGGAAAATAACAGTAGTCAGGGCATACATCAATGTATGCAGATTCATCCATATGTTTGTAAAACAGATATACACCACACACTTGGAGGTCCAGATGTAACATAATATTATACCATATAAACAATTAGAATATGCAGACTTGCCCATACTCTAGTATATACACAAACGCTCACGTAGACCGTGTGGGGATCACTCTCTCCTGTTCTCATCTTTGTCTTGTTTGATCTTCGTCTCCAGTGTGTTGTTATTGAGCACTTGTCCGTTGGGAGGCTGCTGGCTGCTGCCGCTGTAGCTCTTGTCTACGATCTTCAGGGACTCAGTGAGATAGTTCATAGCACAGTTGAGTGAGGCCAGCACAGCCGGCTGGCCGAAGCCATGGGTCAGCAGGCTAAAGTGGGTCAGGTGGCGCTGCATCCCTGGTTCCAGCACCGGGCTGGGTCTCGTGTTGTTCAACGGTGACCGGTCTTGAATGACGACGTCAATGAACTCCCTGAGCATTTCTCTGTGGGCCAAAGAGAAAAGCATCAGTACTACTGTACCAACAGTTTAATCGAGGGAGACATCAGGCAGTACTACTGTACCAACAGTTTAATCGAGGGAGACAACAGTCAGTACTACTGTACCAACAATCTTCTGATGGAGGGAGACAACAGTCAGTACTACTGTACCAACAGTTTAATCGAGGGAGACAACAGTCAGTACTACTGTACCAACAGTTTAATCGAGGGAGACAACAGTCAGTACTACTGTACCAACAATCTTCTGATGGAGGGAGACAACAGTCAGTACTACTGTACCAACAGTTTAATCGAGGGAGACAACAGTCAGTACTACTGTACCAACAGTTTAATCGAGGGAGACAACAGTCAGTACTACTGTACCAACAATCTTCTGATGGAGGGAGACAACAGTCAGTACTACTGTACCAACAATCTTCTGATGGAGGGAGACAACAGTCAGTACTACTGTACCAACAATCTTCTGATGGAGGGAGACAACAGTCAGTACTACTGTACCAACAATCTTCTGATGGAGGGAGACAACAGTCAGTACTACTGTACCAACAATCTTCTGATGGAGAGAGACAACAGTCAGTACTACTGTACCAACAATCTACTGATGGAGGGGGACAACAGTCAGTACTACTGTACCAACAATCTACTGATGGAGGGAGACAACAGTCAGTACTACTGTACCAACAATCTTCTGATGGAGGGAGACAACAGTCAGTACTACTGTACCAACAATCTACTGATGGAGGGAGACAACAGTCAGTACTACTGTACCAACAATCTACTGATGGAGGGGGACAACAGTCAGTACTACTGTACCAACAGTCTACTGATGGAGGGGGACAACAGTCAGTACTACTGTACTAACAGTTTACTGATGGAGGGAGACAACAGTGAGTACTACTGTACCAACAATTTACTGGCGGGAGACACCAGTCAGTACTATTGTACCAACAATTTACTGGAGGGAGACAACAGTCAGTACTACTGTACCAACAATCTACTGGAGGGAGACAACAGTCAGTACTACTGTACCAACAGTCTACTGGAGGGAGACAGCAGTCAGTACTACTGTACCGACAATATACTGATGGAGGGAGACAACAGTCAGTACTACTGTACCAACAGTCTACTGATGGAGGGAGACAACAGTCAGCACCACTGTACCAACAATTTACTGGAGGGAGACAACAATCAGTACTACTGTACCAAAAATTTACTGATGGAGGGAGACAACAGTCAGTACTACTGTACCAACAGTCTACTGGAGGGAGACAACAGTCAGTACTACTGTACCAACAGTCAGTGGAGGGAGACCAGTCAGTACTGTACCAACAATCTAGTGGAGGGAGACAACAGTCAGTACTGCTGTACCAACAATTTACTGATGGAGGGAGACAACAGTCGGTACTACTGTACCAACAGTCTACTGGAGGGAGACAACAGTCAGTACTACTGTACCAACAGTCTAGTGGAGGGAGACAGCAGTCAGTACTACTGTACCAACAGACTACTGATGGAGGGAGACAACAGTCAGTACTACTGTACCAACAATCTACTGATGGAGGGAGACAGCAGTCAGTACTACTGTACCAACAGTCTACTGATGGAGGGAGACAGCAGTCAGTACTACTGTACCAACAATCTACTGATGGAGGGAGACAGCAATCAGTACTACTGTACCAACAGTCTACTGATGGAGGGAGACAGCAGTCTGTACTACTGTACCAACAATCTACTGCTGGAGGGAGACAGCAGTCAGTACTACTGTACCAACAGTCTACTGATGGAGGGAGACAACAGTCTGTACTACTCTACCAACAATTTACTGATGGAGGGAGACAACAGTCAGTACTACTGTACCAACAGTCTACTGATGGAGGGAGACAGCAGACCAACAATCTACTGATGGAGGGAGACAGCAGTCTGTACTACTGTACCAACAATTTACTGATGGAGGGAGACAACAGTCAGTACTACTGTAACAACAATTTACTGATGGAGGGGGACAAGAGTCAGTACTACTGTACCAACAATCTACTGATGGAGGGGGACAACAGTCAGAACTACTGTACCAACAATCTACAGATGGAGGGAGACAACAGTCAGTACTACTGTACCAACAATCTACTGATGGAGGGGGACAACAGTCAGTACTACTGTACCAACAGTCTACTGATGGAGGGAAACAACAGTCAGTACTACTGTACGAACAGTCTAGTGGAGGGAGACAACAGTCAGTACTACTGTACCAACAGTTTACTGATGGAGGAGACAACAGTCAGTACTACTGTACCAACAGTTTACTGATGGAGGGAAACAACAGTCAGTACTACTGTACGAACAGTCTAGTGGAGGGAGACAACAGTCAGTACTACTGTACCAACAGTTTACTGATGGAGGAGACAACAGTCAGTACTACTGTACCAACAGTTTACTGATGGAGGGAGCAACAGTCAGTACTATTGTACCAACAATTTACTGATGGAGGCAGACAACAGTCAGTACTACTTTACCAACAATTTACTGATGGAGGGGGACAACAGTCAGTACTATTGTACTAACAGTCTACTGGAGGGAGACAACAGTCAGTACTACTGTACCAACAATCTACTGATGGAGGGAGACAACAGTCAGTACTACTGTACCAACAATTTACTGATGGAGGGGGACAACAGTCAGTACTACTGTACCAACAATTTACTGATGGAGGGAGACAACAGTCAGTACTACTGTACCAACAGTCTACTGATGGAGGGGGACAACAGTCAGTACTTCTGTACTAACAGTCTACTTGAGGCAGATAACAGTCAGTACTACTGTACCAACAGTCTACTGGAGGCAGATAGCAGTCAGTACTACTGTACCAACAGTCTACTGGAGGCAGATAACAGTCAGTATTACTGTACCAACAGTCTACTGGAGGGAAACAACAGTCAGTACTACTGTACCAACAGTCTACTGGAGGCAGATAACAGTCAGTACTACTGTACCAACAGTCTACTGGAGGGAGACAACAGTCAGTACTACTGTACCAACAGTCTACTGATCGAGTGAGATGTTCTAGCCTAGTCTCTAATCAGTTTGTGGATCCTCTAGCAGTCTCCAGTCAGTTTGCGGATCCTCTGTCTCCAGTCAGTTTGTGGATCCTCTAGCTGTCTCCAGTCAGTCTGTGATCCTCTAGCAGTCTCCAGTCGGTTTGTGATCCTCTAGCAGTCTCCAGTCAGTCAGTGGATGCTCTAGCAGTCTCCAGTCAGTCGGTGGATGTTCTAGCAGTCTCTAGTCAGTTTGTTGATCCACTAGAAGTCTCCAGTCAGTTTGTGGATCCTCTAGTAGTCTCCAGTTAGTCGGTGGATCCTCTAGCAGTCTCCAGTCAGTTTGTTGATCCACTAGAAGTCTCCAGTCAGTCTCCAGCTGCGATCTGGGGATGATCTCTAGCATAGATATAAACCCAAAAGCGACAGAGCGACAATAGATCGGGTATTTTCACACTGGAGCAGAGACAGATAGAATGAATCAGAGACGGACAGAAAATGGACCAAAGAGAGAGAGACAGACACATGAACAGAGAAAAAGCAGCATAACATAGACAAAGACATACAGACAGTTTGACCTAACCCCCCCCCCCCCCCCCCCCCCCCCCAAACGACTAATATCAATAGCCACAGGAAAAGAAACAGAGCTGGGGAGACAGTGAAACAGACAGACAGACAAACAGACAGACAAAGTGAAAGTCTTACTTGGCTGCCATCAGCATGCTCTTTCTGTTGTGACAGTCGCTGGGGTCGACGTGCCGACTGTTGTACTCTGCGATCTGCCTGGACGGGAACTCAGTCTCACAAAGATAGGAGTAATCACGGGCCAGACGGATGGTCTCTCCTGTCAGATGCAACATAGAGTCCAGTCAACAACATCAACACACTGATACAAATAACACATTGATACAAATATCAACACACTGATACAAACATCAACACACTGATACAAACATCAACACACGGATACAAACATCAAAACGCTGATACAAACGTCAACACACTGATACAAACGTCAACACACTGATACAAACGTCAACACACTGATACAAACGTCAACACACTGATACAAACGTCAACACACTGATACAAACGTCAACACACTGATACAAACGTCAACACACTGATACAAAAATCAACACACTGATACAAACATCAAGACACTGATACAAACATCAACACACTGACACAAACATCAACACACTGACACAAACATCAGCACACCGATACAAACATCAACACATTGACACAAACATCAACGCACTGATACAAACATCAACACACTGATACAAACATCAACACACTGATACAGACATTAACACACTGATACAAACATCCACACACTGACACAAACATCAACACACATATACAAACATCAACACACTGACACAAACATCAACGCTGTGTTCAAACACAACTGTACTCTCTGTCCCCCGTTGATAATTAAAGACACGTGGTTTAAACATATCAAACACCTGTAAACAACCATCCTAGATGGTAATTCATCATCATCATCATGTGGGAGGTCTTTTTCAGAACGTGGCTCTCACCACGGCCTGCCTGAAAGGAACTCGGTCTCTCGCCAGCTCTCCCGCCTCATGTACTTTCATCTCCGAAGAGGTACTTTCATCTCCAAAGAGGTACTTTCATCTCCGAAGAGGTACTTTCATCTCCGAAGAGGTACTTTCATCTCCGAAGAGTTACTTTCATCTCCGAAGAGGTACTTTCATCTCCGAAGAGGTACTTTCATCTCCGAAGAGGTACTTTCATCTCCGAAGAGGTACTTGTTTCCTGTGCCCACTTTCGTGCTGGTCAGTTCCTGCCTCGTGTTAGACAATCTGTACAATCTGCCGTAGATCTTGGTATGGTCGAAACATTTCAGATTCTGAGACAAGATGCTGGGTACTAGCCAATTTTCCTTCATATTCAGATCTTTTAGAATGTCAGTGTTTCTGTTCATCTTGGTCCACGGTGATCAGAGAACTAGGATTTCAGTTCTAAAGCCGATATTTTCTTTCTGACAGAGAGATAGTCTACGACTCACACCCCTATGTTGCTGGAGATAGTCTACGACTCACATCCCTATGTTGCTGGAGATAGTCTACGACTCACACCCCTATATTGCTGGAGATAGTCTACGACTCACACCCCTATATTGCTGGAGATAGTCTACGACTCACATCCCTATGTTGCTGGAGATAGTCTACGACTCACACCCCTATGTTGCTGGAGATAGTCTACGACTCACACCCCTATATTGCTGGAGATAGTCTACGACTCACACCCCTATATTGCTGGAGATAGTCTACGACTCACATCCCTATGTTGCTGGAGATAGTCTACGACTCACATCCCTATGTTGCTGGAGATAGTCTACGACTCACACCCCTATGTTGCTGGAGATAGTCTACGACTCCCCCGTGTGGGTTCCGGGGCCCCATTGTGGGGAAAACAAGAATAGACCCACTGCCTCCCCAAAAGCATGTCGTAAGATTCGACTAATTGGGGAGCTTCCTTTTAAGTCGGAGTGCATCTGCCGGAGAGGCAAGGAACCAACAGTCTGTATTCAAGAGAATGAGATCTGTAAAACTGATGCACACGCAACACTCAGGTTCTGGAGCAGGACTGCAGTTCAGTAATGGACGAGCAACCAGAACTTTCCGCCAGAGTGTACAGCTGGTGAACGTAAAAAAGAAGAAGAAAGTCTACGACTCACATCCCTTTGTTGCTCGGGGAAAATGCAGGCTCTCACATTGTTGACTCTAATTTCCTCATCCAAAATACCCGTATATATTAACTGATGATGTTTATCTGGCCCTCCCTGCTCCCCCAATAGCCGCACTTTCTACACCAGGGAGGAGGAAATATATTCTCATCATCATTCCCTCAGTCCTTGCAGTGAAGCTGATGTCTGCCCATTTCTGTGTGTGACGCTCTTCCCTCCCTTCCTCCTCCGTTTGTCTTTCCTCAACTCTTCCAGCCATCATCGTAGCAACCATTATTGCCACTGTTGATGTGTCCAGCACCTGAGCTGTGTCATGTATAAGTCCCTGAAGCAGGACCGGCCTGACACCTGACGGTCTGTGCATATCGTGTGTATTTTCTGTGTCATGTATAAGTCCCTGAAGCAGGACCGGCCTGTCACCTGACGGTCTGTCCATATCGTGTGTATTTTCTGTGTCATGTATAAGTCCCTGAAGCAGGACCGGCCTGACACCTGACGGTCTGTCCATATCGTGTGTATTTTCTGTGTCATGTATAAGTCCCTGAAGCAGGAC